GAAAAACCCGCGCCGCCACCCAGAGCGGCCCCCCCCCCCAGCAGCAGCCTCGCCCCCCCCTTGCCGCCGCAGTTCAGCCACAAGGAAGTTGCCATCTTGCTACTCCTCGCTTCCCTGCCCTCCCCAGCGCCGGGGCTGTCTATCTCACTGCCTGAGCAGAAAAAAAGCGGCACGCCCCCACATCCCGCGGCCAAGTCGCTTCAGAGTGGTTTTTCCCCCCCCCCCCCCCCTGCCACTGGCCCGCTGCCGTGGGCGCTCAGCCCCTCGCCTGCTCGGGCCTAACTGCCTCTATGACCCCAGGTACGAACAAGCGCCTACCACAGACGCATCCGCACCTCTCAGCGCTGCCTGCCTGTCTGCCCCTGGGGGTGCCCCCACATCTCCTCTCCAGCTACTCCCGCTACTGGCCCTTTCCTGCCCTCCCGACCTCGGGGGCGGGCGCGCTGGTCTCTCCATTCCGCCCCAGGCAGTCTGCCTCTGCCCCGGGGTAGGTCCCGCGCGGCCCGCTAGGGTATTGCTCGGGTCGATGCCCCACTGTGGGAGTAGGCAAGCGCTCGCACAGCCCCGGAAAGAGGTCCCCGAGAAAGGACCCCCGCACTCGCCGTCCGACCGGCACCATGGCGGCTAACAACCGCGACACAGCACAGGTAACGAGAAGCTATGAGCAGGCGGCGCCTGCCCCTGAGGCGGCGTGGGCTTTAAAGGGGCGCAGGGCTTGGCAGCGGGGCGGGCGCGCACGCCCCGTCCCGACCGTGTCCCATTTAAGCAGCCGCGCGGCCCACGGTAGGGGTTCGCCATCTCCTGCAGGCGGGGCCGAGTACCCCAGGGTCCTCTCTCCGGCTGGGAGGGACTTCGGGAGGCCTGAGGCTGGACAGCGAACCGGCAGCGGCCTTGCCGGTGTGCCTGGGCCCTGCCGTGGCCACCTGTGCCACCCCGGACGCTGCTGGCAGCCCTGCGCTCTGCCTGCGTTCAGCCTACCGCCTGGCTAGGGGCACTTTGCATCAGCGGGTGCTCCAGGATAGCAGTTCGCAATTGCAGTTGTTCAGGCTATTCTTGTAACCTTGGTAATCAGCTAGTAACCTTCATAGTTACTAATTAGCAGAGAATATAGAGAAGTTATGAAATTTACTGCACTTCTCAAAATGTTGACAGCTGACAGTCTGGCTGTAGTTACAGGACTCGTGGCCCTATTTATTTATTTATGGTAACTGGGGTTTTTAGTTTGTTTGGGGTTTTTTTCTGTGTTTAATTGTTTGGGGTTTTTTGTAGTTTGGGAATTGTTCATGACTCTAAGTCGTCACAACTTGAACATCAGTCAGCAGTGCTGTGCTTTATCAAACATGCTAGAGCGTATGGGAGCATCACCTGGACAAGGCTTGAAATACCTGTCCTGTTTGTATGTGGAACTGGTCAAGAGACCAACCCAAGCATCAAGAACAGTGTGGACCAACAATAGGGAGATGAGAATCATCAGCAGATGATAATAATAATAATGATAATGTGGCCTGTCAGAAAAGAGGAAAAAAATAAGGAGCAAATGGAGTTGTCATCTTAATTTGTAAAATGTTTTCACAGAGATGAAAGGGAAGAATGTCTTCTGTATGTCCATAAGTGTTTGGTAAGAGATAACAAGCTTAAATCTCAGCAAGCAAGGTTTAGGTTAGACATTAGGAAAATATTTCTAACCTGGGACAGTTGAACAGGTTGCCTAAGGAGTTTGTGACTCACTGTCATTGGACGTTTTAAAGATGAGGTTAAAGTAGGAGCTTCCAAACCTTGTCAAACTTGCCCCTGGCTGCCGTCTCCATCACTTCACCTTCCCTGTCTCCTGCCTGAGAATCATTGCCACTGTCTTGCACCCATGCCATTTCTGCCGTGCTGCTGCCACTGCCTCCCCCACGCCTGGTTCTGCAAGTCCAAGACCAACTGGAAGCTTTTTCCTGTGGTATGCAGCCCCCTGCAACAACTGCAACAAGATGCAAATGGTCTGTCTGTCTGTTCAGAGGGGCTGCATTAAACAAAGCCTCTGCTTGCTGTGATTCTAAGGACCAGGAGACAATCTTGAGGGGCTCACAAAATCCCAGTTCCCCTTTGCTTAAGTCTTACGGTCTTACTTTAGACCATCAAGGATCACTCAGTCTTCAACTTTAGAGTCACTGTGATATTGGGGTGAGGGGAGAGAACAGTGACAACACCACTTTTTTCTTAATGTTTCAGCAAAGGTATTGGTACTAAGTAACTACCTGCCTACCAGTTTTGGTATGTGCTACTTATTTTTTGCTTTTATTCTCTTTATTCTGTGGGTGTTAACAGAATACCTCCCCTAATGTGGGTTCCTGCTGCTAAACAAACGTTTCTCTTGGAAATGTCCTTTCATGGGCATAAATGACTAAGCTGAGCAGTAGAGCAGCTAATCACTTGTCATTTTTAAAAAACTAGTAAAGCTTCCAATTACTCCAATTAAAAAAAATTCAAAACATAAAAAAGGCACACCATAAATCATCAATTTCAGTTGGAGGTCTGTACTTACTATAAAAATTGACAGTCTGTGACTTATAAGCAGAGTAGGAATCCTCACCACATTGCTTTCCTATCTCTTCATTACAATTATTTCTTTTTCCCACCTAAAAAGACTCCTTTTGCATTGTGCAATCCTTGTATGGTACTGAAGGTGTTGTAGAAAATAAACTTTTTTAAAGGATCATGACATTATTTTTGCTACTTTAGTTTATTTGATCCATTTCTATTCTAAAGACAGATTTTAAACAGAAGTCCACCAGCTTATTAATGGTACTTTTCTCATTTTATGTATACAGTGTAGCACAAATCTGTTTGACCACATCAAACTTATCACCATGCGGCTATTCAAAGAAACCTCATCATACTACCCATCAGTATGAAATATCAACAGTATGATTTCATCTATGCAGTCTGTGCTTATTTCTGAGGAAAATATATGATTTATAAGCAATTTATGAAATGGAGATACGTATTTCAGGCACTGTTTATTTACTATGATATCTTAAAATACCCACATTGTAGTTCAGTTTTACACCTTTTGAAAATTATCCCCAAAACCTTTAAAAATATGTTTGTTCCACGAGTAGCCTGGGTCCACCTTGATTTCCATTATATTAGATCCACATTGTTTTCTGGGTTTTTGGGTTGGAAGGTGGGTTTGTTTTGGTTTGGTTTTTAAATCATATTAGGTACAGTAATTTGAATAAAACAGGAAAAAGCTAATTTTGCTTGAGCAACCACAGTCTTGCAGAATACAATAATAATTTTTGGAAAAGATTTGGCTGCTGGAGATATTCTAAATTTTCACTGAATACTTTCAGTCAGGTTCTGTTTAGAAATTTACCGGCAAATTTGTTTTCAAAAGAATAATTTAATGGATTGAAAAATTGGTCAATTCTTTTAGTTAGAAATAGTTAGAAATTTGTGGAGTTTTCCTTCATACCTAACAACATGTAGTGGTGAAAAGCACTCACGTTCTCCCATGAATACGAATTTTGCAGTAAATGTCTATATTCATCAAACAGGGAAAATATGAAACAACTGTAGGAGTATTATAATCTAGGGTTTTTTATGACTGTGTACATTCAATAAACAATAGCAACATAAACCTGTTTAATATAAGTTTATTCCATCAAAAGTAGAAGAGACATAATTTTTCTTTGAAATGAAAAATACCAGAGTATTACATAGGTTATAAATACACGGTGATATCATTTTGAATAAGAGTCAAAACCAGATACTGTGGGACTCAGTTTTGTGACAGGTGAGTAGATAAAAATTACATACAGCCATTAATTCTGTGTAAGTAAATCAGAACAACAAAACAGGGACCCATAATTTTCACATACTATGCACTTGTTTTGTATTTGTAAACATATGACATATGCACTAATATTTTGAGATTCACAGTACATTGCAGAGTCATTAGTATTTAAGGAATATTTAGGTAGTCAGAGTATAGTTGTTGTATATTACTATTTTCAGTGGCAAAGAGCTGGAAAGGAGTGGTTTCATTTTCAGCTGTCTGAATGGGGAAGATTTCAGATTTTTTTCACTGTAAATGTAGGAGCTTGCTTATTTGGCCTGGGGTCTTTTTCCTTCATGTACTCTTGTATATGCTGTTCTATTTGTTTCAGGTAGTGTGAACGGATGAAGGTTCATGGTGCTTTAAAAATTTTAACTTCTTACATAAGTTTCTAGGATTGCTGGTTAGAGTCTTGTTTCTATCACTTGAGATGAATAAACAGATGATTTATTAATGTATTAAAAGAGACTGTAAATAATAGAAACAAAGTCAGGGCAGGCAGGAATAGCATCTGAACTGAATCCCAGTTCTTTAAAGATAATCGCTTCAGAAACAAGTGCCATTGAAGAATGTGGTGCTATGCTATGAAGTTTGAAGTACTCATCAGGCTTAATGCATATATAAAAAGAATTATTTCTTTTCTGCTGTAGTAGCAGAGGACTGTATTTGGTGACCTAAGGGTTTAGCCTTCCTAAAACTAATCCATTTTTCTATTGAAAACAATGCAAGGAGCACATCTGTTGTGCTTAATTGCTGATTCCTGTCACACACCCATATAAGAAACAAAATCAGCTGTATTACTGTGGTAATGTGGGTGGAAATCTTACCCCATCCCAGGGAGATAAATTGATGTAAATAAAATTACTGCTCTGTTTCTCTAACATTTGATTCCTTACTTGATATTTTCAGATGTATCTTTGTGAAAGCACATACGATTTTTATTTTTACACTGGTATATGGGGGAAGACTGACTTTTTATTCTCTCAGATAAGCTAAAAGAAATACTCAAGACAACATGCAAATGCATAAATTCAAGCACACAGCATGAATTGAAGTAGCATCTCACAGTTTTCTCTGTGTACACTGGTTATATTTCTCATGTAAATGGTTCAAACATTCAAAATTTTTGTTTTTCCAGTGTAGTACTCACCAAAGACTGCTACCTGTTAGGTACAGCTTTCTTAGTTTTATATGTTCAGTGCAGAATAATGTTTAGGATTTCCAATAAATAGTTTTGGCTTGTACTGTAAAGCCATTCTGGTTTAGATTAACTATGAATGAATCTCTGACACTACAGATACCTTTGGTTAATAGATAGATATAGAGATATTTATTGATGTAATAAGCAATGGAATATTTAAGAACTTTTTTTCCTTCTGAAAGAAATATTAAAATAATGCAATTTGCTTTCTGGCTAAACTGCATGTGAGGTAACCTCACGTTGTAGAAATGTAGGAATGTGAAGTTCATCCAATAATGTGCCTATGTTTTCTATAGTATTTTTGACTGCTAATGTAAAAATATTATATAATAGAACTAATAAAGTCTGTTCTACTGAAATTTGTAAAGCAAGCAAAATAAACCTACAGAAAACTGATTCAATGGGAAAAGTTATTAGTTGAGCTTTTCAAAATGGATAATGTTAGATGCATTTATTTTTCTTTTTTTTATGGCAATAGCCTATGATTTCATCTCGCTGATGTAATACCTGTGAGCCACTGCACTTGAATAAACTTGAGATAAGACCTTTCCTGTGAAGGATAATCAGATGTGCATTTTATTTGGGAGTTTTGCTTGATTGTTTCAAGGTGTGAGTGGCCCCTGCAGAGTGTAAAGGGCATTGTGCAAACACGCAGTCATTTTGTAACTGAAGTTCATAAGCATAAATTAGACTGTCATACAGCAGTATGAAAGTACTACCCCTTTAAACTCAGTTTCAGAATTTAAATTCTTAGTTTTGTGATGCTTCTGATGGTTTTTAATTTATTTCTTTAATTTATTTTTAGGAGAAGTTACATCCAAGAAATCTTATCCCAGAGCTTTGTAGACTGTTTTATGGTTTAGGCTGGGTAACAGGAACTGGTGGAGGAATCAGCTTGAAACATGGGTAAGTAAAGATGGATGAGGAAGATTGTGATGGTTAGAGAGTGAGAGGATGGCTGTGTTTAGTAGTTGGTGAGGGCATTTCAGTTCCATGAAAAATGTTTGAAAGTCAAGAGTGAGAAAGAAGGTCGAGGCGGAAATGAACAGTACACCAAATTTAACCATACAGAAGGGAGGTGGCTAGTCTGAATTAATCGTTGCATTCCCTTCAATGGAGGGAGCCAACTTCAGAGTGTGATTTTTTTTTTCCTGTCCTTTTCCTATCTTTGTTTAAGGTAGATTAATTGTCTTTAAGGAGCAATGTATTCCCCCTTTTTCATTTCATTGACGACGGAATTTAGAGTCGGTTACATCAGGCACACGGCTTTCAAATGCCTGTGGTTAGATGAGATGAATCCGACCCTAGGCATTTTGCAGGCAAGACATTTCCTTTAAGAAGGAAATTACTGTTCTACTGAGATAATTTCTAAGGAGATATTCTTAACATATAATTAAAGCAGGACAGGTAACAGCAAAACAATTTTTGGTGTGTATCCACTACTAAAGAGCACCACTTCGCTTTTTCTTTTGCTTGTCTCCCCCTGTTCATACTTTCCAAGCTTTTAATGCAGACGGAGCTCCTCTCAGTGGCCACTGAAAAAAGAGAAGTCTTCATTCTGCAAAACAGTTTGTACAGTGCCTGCAATTCTTGCAGTCACAGGGTGTTGTGACACTAACTTGAAAGTGTCTGACTTCTCATATTTCTGATGTACACTTGCATGAAGACACAAACAGCCATTGCTATCAAATACATGAGAGAGATCTGAAGTAAAGGCTCTAAGTGCTAATATTCGTGCTGTTATCATGGCTTTGTGCAGGTCATTTCACTTCTCTGCTTGATTTTGCAATCAAAGCAACAGCAATAATAATAATGAGAGGAATGGTAAGAGGGTTAATTCTTGTTTTTAAAGTTCTTCATCTATGGAAAGATCTTTCTAGCACTAATTTCTCATCAGTAGCTAAATGTAGCCTATTTGTCATTTCAGTGCGATTCGTGTTGGTTGTGGCAAGGCAAATGGTGTTAACAGAGAATACACTATCGTAGTACAGTTTTCCTCAGAAGGTCTATAACTTGGTTGCTCAGACTACACAGAAATATGTATTTGAGTTGGTACCAATATTGTACGTGGTCTAGCAATAGTAATCTACGTAGCTGTACTGTTTTATACCAACTGTAACAGTAGCTATGTTTCAAAATTAATAGCTATGAGGCAGATATCAGACTAGCTTAGAATTGTTATGTAGGAAATAGCGAAAGAACAATTGAAATTTGATTGAAATTCTAACAACTGGTCTTACCAGCTAATCCTAATCAGCACTACTCACTGTGTAGTTCATATCAACTACTCAGAATAAAAATGCCAATTTGGACATGGGATAGCATATTAAAAATGGATCTAGAATCGTTCATCAGGTGTCCTGTATTTCAAAGGCTGTATTTCATCATCAGATTTTCCCTTTGTGATTAATTTCTAAAAAAGAAAACAATTTGTTTTAAGAAAAAATGCATGTCTTTCATTAGCAACCAGATTACCACTTGATTTCTCAATATGTTGCACTCTCAATCATCTTGCTCATGCAAAGGAATTAAGACTAAATTAATGCAATGTTGGCAGCGTTAATTCAGGAATGTTAAAAATTACAATACGTTAAAGCCACATTTTGATGTGCTTCACGGCTTTTTTACCACAATGAAGAGTACATCATCTTAAGAGTTGTATTTGTGGAAGAGTTAGAATCATAGAATCATAGAAACATTTAGGTTGGAAAAGACCCGTAAGATCATGAAGTCCAACCATAAACCTAACACTGCCAAGTTCACCACTAAACCATGTCCCTAAACGCCATGCCTTTTAAATACTTCCACGGATGATGACTCAACCACTTCCCTGGGAAGACTGTTACAATGCTTGATAACCCTTTCAGTGAAGAAATTTTTCCTAATATCCTATCTACCCAATGTAAACCTCCCCTGGCACAACTTGAGGCCATTTCCTCTCATCCTATCACTTGCTACTTCGAAGAAGAGACCAACACTCACCTCACTACAACCTCCTTTCAGGTAGTTGTAGACTCTCTAAGGTCACTTCTTGGCCTCCTTTTCTCCAGGCTAAATAACGCCAGTTCCCTCAGTCACTCCTTATCAGATTTATTCCCTAGACCCTTCACCAGCTTTGCTGCTCTTCTAAGTGCTCTTGTCCAGAAATATAAATACCTCATGGTCCTTAGGAAATATATTTGTAACTTGACTAATTATTCACTAGATGTCTCTGTGTGCCTGAATTTAATATGTTACTGTTGGAACCAAATAGTGATTACAATTGAGAGAGATAATCTCACTTTTTTTGCTATTATTGAAAATATTTCAGATACCATCTTAAAATCAATTTAATTTAAATCAATTTTTTATAGTCTTTGTTCATGTAAACCTTGCAAGAAGTAATGTACTTCTACTTGAATTTCCATCATTTAATTGTATTGAATGACTGTTATCTTTTTATCAATACAAATACATACATAAATGTGTTAAAAACATGAACTACACAGTTATAACAAAACCCAAAAGTATTTACATTGTAGAATACTACAGATAATTAATATTGTTTATAGGTAGTCTGTGGATTTTTAATTAATAGATTCATCACCTGTTTCGTCATAGATCAGTATCTGCTTGCAATTTCACTTGTTCCATTTTTATTCTGAATTCTAGGGATTTGACTTTGGAATTATTGCAGGGGGAGGCTGTGTGTTTTTCTTTGTAGGAAAAATAAGGCTGCACTTCCTATGTGTGTTTCAGATCTCTTGTCAAGTTGATGGTTTTGTACCCCTGCAAGTTAGAGATTTCATATTCCCTTGTATGATTTGGTTCTATTTTGAAAACCGTAGAATCATAGAATCATTTCGGTTGGAAAAGACCTTGAAGATCATCCAGTCCAACCATTAACCTCCACTACCAAATCCACACTAAACCAATCAAGGGTAGACTAGACTAAACCATGTCCCAAAGTGCCACATCTACCCATTTTTTGAACACTTCCAGGGATGGTGACTCCACCACCTCTCTGGGCAGCCTGTTCCAATGCTTGACTACCCTTTCCGTGAAGAAATTTTTCCTAATATCCAACCTAAACCTCCCCTGGCACAGCTTGAGCCCATTTCCTCTCGTCCTATCGCTAATGTCAATCTATGGAAGGAGCAAGAAAGTTATTAAATTATGAGGGGCGAGATTTGCTGTTTCCTTTTCAGTGAATCCAGAGCTCTAATGCCCGTGCAGTTGAAAACCTCGTGTTTATCAGTTTTCCCTCTCTGTAACTTTTCTTAGGAATGAAATCTACATCGCTCCTTCAGGAGTCCAAAAGGAAAGAATACAGGTACGTTGAACTGTATTTTTTGTGGACGGCATTTACCTGGACTTTAGCAAAGCCTTTGACACAGTCTCCCATAGCATACTCCTTAGGAAGCTGGCAGCTCGTGGCTTGGACAGGCGTAGTCTTCGCTGGGTAAAAAACTGGTTGGTTGGCCGAGCCCAGAGAGTAGTGGTAAATGGAGTTAAGTCC